GGTCGGCCCCGGTCGTCCCAGTCCCCGAGAGTCTCCGTCCCCGGTGATTCTGGGAGATGTTGTCTTGTTCCTCTCCTCTCACCTCTGTCCCCCTCTTACCGTCCCGTCCCACTCCTCCCTTCCCCCCCTCACTTTAATTTCTCTCCACAGTTTCTCGGACCGTTTCCTTCAGTCTTGCTTTTTCTCTCTGCCCCCGCACCGCGATCTGCACCCCTTTCTCCAGCACAATAGTTTGAGTTGAGCTCATTTCTTACAAATTCCTTTTCTATTAAAAAAATGCGCATGGCTATCTGTCCTAGTAGAAAGACATAATACTAATTTTTTTTAACAACTCGTAATTTTGTTCCTGATCAGTCTTCACAACTTTTCCTAGAAGTGGGCCTTCGATTTTATCCGGGAATTGGAGTAAAGTTTGCCGAAGTCTGCTGTCGGGTCCAAGGGTGCAGAAATAGATAACACCATCGCGATTTGGCATTGATTTTCATTCAGGACCTGTATTTAGCCCCCACCCCGTCTCCCCAACTTTTCCAGGGAGGGTCTCCTGCCTCTACCAGCGACCAGCCTGGAAAGGAGCAGCCAGGTCCTTTGATAGAGCATTTACTGCGATAAAACCAACAGAAACGTCAACAAAACACAGATCTGGCCTTAAAGTGACCTCAGAGGCATCCTCGGAAACAACAAAACGTCCCTACTTGGGGTGGCTAATCACCCCGGTAGAGGCGCATTGTGGGAGGAGGCCTGGAGAAAGAGGGCCGTTCTTGGGTGTGGATCCCCTGGGTTCGGCCTGGGGACTTTTTGTTTTGCCAATTTCGGAGGAAACGAGATTTTATTTTTGCTGTTGGAAAAGAGGAAAAATGAGTTGGAGCCCGGAGATGTAAGAGGTCTGTACGCTGGGGTCGGTGCTGGCCTCTCTGCCTCCTCCAGTACGGTTTCTAATCCAGGCACCGGCGCTCCGGGGCGCTGGCGAGGTGATTGGCGGCTCACGGCCGGCCTGGAGGGCCGCGGGGTTCTAATCTCCAGGAAACACCAGGGGCTGCCTTGGCCGTTTAGGGGTAATTATCTGAGAGGGCTGGGACAGCGAATTCCCTCGCCTTTTAACTGGGCGCAATAAAAGCTGTAGATTAGGGGCGTCCAGATTAAGGAAAATGAATTGCTAGACCGGGAACTTTATTACCCGGACGGCGTCCGGGCCTGGCGGGAGGGGTCGGGCTGCGGACGCCAGGCCCCTAGCTGTGTGGAGGCCTGGGGGCGGGTTCGCCAGTACTCGCGTCCGTGCGATTTACTCCGTCTCCCGGGTTTCTTCGAGATCAGAGGAGATTGCGGCTTGGGCGCTGGCAGGGTTTGGGGCCTCGGACGCGCTTCTGCCATGCTGGACACCTGGTGCCCTGGGGCCCCCTGAAGTTTGCCCGAGAATACCCAGGCAGAAGGCTGTGCCGACCCTAGTTAAAGCCAAGCGAGCTGCAGCTCCGCTAGGCTGTAGGCCGAACACCTCGTTCGAAGCCCAGCGGGGCCCGAGAACTTCTCTTCCTCACAGTTCTAATTAAACCGTGGCCGATAAGCAAGGCGGGCAGGAAACAGGCCCTTGGGCTTTTTGGGGCAGTGTTTTAAAAGTGAGTAGTGCGTCTTTCGATCCGGGCTTTGCTTTGTTCTGCCCTCGTCCTGCAACTCAAAATGTTCGGCGTACAGATGACTTTGAGGATCTAATGAAACCAAGAACTTTCTCTCCGGAAAAGCACGCATCAGCCGAACTATATCCCCGGCACTGGACAAGTTCGGGGACTCTGGACCCTTTTGAACTCCGTTAGGGTTGAGAGTCAAGGGGGGTTCGAACCCCGAGATTGGAGCCGCACGGGGCTGAGGGGACTCTGGCAAAACTCACAGCGATCGAGCGCAGGAGGCCTGGCGCAGGCCGGCTGGCGGCCTGAGAAGGGCCGCGTCGCTAATTGCGGGGATAAACAATCTGTCACGATCCCTCAGCGCGCCTAATAGGCAGACGAGGATGTTGGTTTTAGGCGCCAGCGGCGGCCGGATCAAAGGCTGCAGCGGGCGCAGGGGCCTTGAAGTCGCGCCCTCGCCTCCAGGGAGCAAACTGCCTGCGCCTCAGGCCCGGGCCCAAGCCCAAGCTAGGTCCCGAAGGGCCTTGAACGCGCCCCCGCCCCCAGGGAGCAAACTGCCTGCGCCTCAGGCCCGGGCCCAAGCCCAAGCTAGGTCCCGAGCGCGCCGTATCCTCGGGGTACAAGCCTCGCAGTGGAGAGGATTCGTGTGCCCAGCGGAGGGCTCTGCCTTGAGCGCACATCCGAATAGCTGGGGGCTCCTCCCGGACCTGCCACTGGGCCACCCCGGAGAAGGCTGGAGCGCTTTCCTCCGTGCCTGTGGCTCTTCCCGCGCTGGGGAGCAGAGAGAGCGCGCATTCTCTGATTTGATTTCTGTCCAGGCCTATACGGATTTCCGGGGTGGGGGGTTCAGACGCTGCAGGGCAGTGGGGGCTGCGTTTGTTATCTCGCCGCCAGCAACAAACCGGGAGCTTCTGCCCCGCGGTTCCCGGCGGCCGCTGCAACCCCGCTTGCAGCTGTAATTCATGCCTGGCAAGTGCAGGGCTGCCCTGCCACAGATAAAGCCCAGTACTGGCTCCGGCAACCTCGCCGTCCCCTCCCCGCCCCGTCTCCCTCGCCCTAAAGCCTAAAGCCTGCCCCCAACAAAGCGCCTCTGCTCATCACGACCTAAGGACAGCGCGCCCTGCGACCACTGTCTAGCCATTTAACCTCGTGGTAGCCCCACCCCCAACTCTTGTTTTAAGGACGTGTTCCAAGGTGGAAGCAGGATGGTGTGATTCCCAGGTATCTGTCCCTCTTTGGAAAAAATTAACTTTTAGAGGGATCTCATCTTAACTGATCCTCGTGCAGCACTGCCCTGCAGACGGGAGAGACTCCAGCCAGCCCATCACCAGCATTCGTGGTCGCCTCCCTAGAGTTTTTTGTTTACGCCCCTCCCCCCTTTTCCAGCGCATTTTGTGGCCTAGGCCCAGGAATCCCTTGTGCACTTTTTGAAATGTGCAGCTCAGTGGGATCCCCTGGCAATTAGGAGCCCCAAACAGTCCTCTTTAATAGAATGAATGTGCTATGAAAACCGATTACCCGGAACGATTTATTTTGGTGGGAATTCACCAATCGCCAGGAGGACGGCGGAGGGGGGCAGAGAAGAGGTATTTTGTGCTGGGGTGGGAGTGGGGGGTTGACAGAGAGACAGAAAGCCGGGTCGGGGGTCTGCTAACCTGCAAGGGGCCTTGCGACCCCGCCCCCTCTCCTCTTCTGGCCTCTGTCTCCTAGGAGTGAAGGGATGGCCAGAAGTCAGGTCTGAGAAGCTGCCTGGGAGCCGCTCACTGTGGTAGAATTTCACAGCTTTCCAGAGAAAACTGCGGGAGAGACGAGAAACCCAGCTACTGAAGATCCCAGCACAGGTCCCTGGCAGGACTCTGTCGGCATCCCCGGACCTGCGCAAAATTCTTGAGCCTTCTGAGAGTCTTGCAACTCTTCCTTATCGTCTTGTCAAAATATTCTTTCGAAGTGTTTTCTCCTTCTCTCGAATTCCTGCCCTAAAGGGGTCCGATCTGTGCTACAGATCTGCCTTAGAGGGTGGTGGGTTTTACCAGGGAGGAATAGCAGCGCGACCCCAGGATTCGGGCCCTCCCTACCCTCTTCCTGTCTTCAAACTCGGGAGGGGTTGGGGGGCTAGGGTCGGGGAAGAAGGAGCCCCCTCCCCCAAATGGCCCAAATTAATGTGATCACGACAAGAGGGTGCACTTGGGCGAGATGAAAGGGGAGGCCGTCCGGCTCCTCCTCGAGCCCTATAATTATAGATAATATATCCCATTTCAAAGCAATTAGACCAATCAGGCGTAACGAACCACTTTGCTGCCCCGAGTAACAAAGGCGCACGGTTATTTAAGCCTGGAGAAGTGGGGCAGACCCCCAGGCTCCAGGGGCGGCCAGTGCCCCCCATCCGGGCCCTGCCAGCCGGCCAAGGGCCCCAGCTCAGTCCGGCCTGGAGTGCAGGGTTTTGGAGGGGATGCGGGGAGAGCTGGGAGTCAGGCCTGGGGTGCAGTTTTCACAGACTTCATTGAATTTTCTGAACTCTGGGAAATAAGTATCATTGTCCATTCCAGGGCCCCCAGATGAAAGAACAGAATCAGAGAGGTTAAGTGTCTCGCTCAGGGTCACACGGTTAGTGGTGGCGCCAGGATCTGGATGCTGGTGCGTCTGAACCACTGAAATTCACTTTTTTCTCCCCCAGGAGCGGCCTCTCCCTGGGCGTTTCCAAAACATCAAATGCACTAAAGCGCTGCTGCTTCACGGGTTTGCCTGGATAGCTGGGACCGCCTCCCTGTCCCGCCCCAAATCCAGGAAATGGGTCTCTCCGGCTCCACCTCCCGCCCCCCAGCGTCCGGGCCCCTGTCCGCCCCACTATCCCAGATTTTATTGGGAGTTTATGGAGCCGCGGGATCCCAGTGCGTCTGAGGCGAACTCGGGCCCCCGCGGCTCGCCGCACAGGCTTCGGAGGGCCAAAGCTCCCTGAGCGGCTCGTGTCTGAGCGGAAAGGCGCGGAGATGACGTGGAAGCGGTGGGGAGAGAGGGAGGCCGAGAAGCCCCTGGAGGCACCCAAGGAGAGGCGCCCGGAGACCGAGAACCTGGGTATGCTGCGGCACTCAGAACCCGGCAAGGTGGCAGGGCAGGCTGAGGCAGGCAGAGGCAGACCAGAACTCGGGCTGCAAAGCAAGGACTCTGGGGCCCCGGAGAGTGTGTCCACCTGCTGGAGCACCCCGGGGTGTGTGCTGCAGGGTAGTTGCCCAGCCTGGCGCAGAAAGCAGGGGACAGGGGGTAGGGACGGGACCCTCCCCCCTCTGCTTCCCACATCAGGCCTCTCTGTCTCTGTCTCAGAGCCCTCCCCCCCCCACACTCTCCGCGACGTTCCGTCGGGTCCCTGCAGGTCACCTTGGCTTCCTTCTCTGTCTCTCTGGCCTCTCTGTCATCCGCCCGGACCGGACTCAGTGTGACCCGCTCCCCCCACGTCACTGCAGCTGGGCATACCCTCTGGAGCAGTGGGCAGTGCGGTGCCTTGGGAAGCAGCCAGTGTGTCCCTCCCCCAGCCATCCCTGCCCAGGGCGTCCAGCTGGTAATTTCAACTCTGAGCCTCAGTTTCCCTATCTGGACCAGGGGATCTTCCCTAAAGGGTTGTCATGAGGACCGAGGGAGACAGCCTGGCAAATTTAGGAGGTGATCTTTTAGAGTCCTTCACCCCCCACTTTCCCAGGACCCCAAGATGGATACGGCCAGTAAGGGGGAGCTCAGGAGAGGCAGGGGGACCAGAACCTCCCTGGACTGTGGACTGGTGGAGGGCAGCACACTTAGATGAACCCAGCCACTTCCTTCTGAGAGCTCCAAGAGGGGCCCGTCCTGCCCGTCCTGCCCGGAGAGCCAGCCTGCGCCCTCTCACACTGTCCCCTGCAGCTCCGGTTGGTCTGCTGCGTGTAAAGTAAGCACTCAGCCCTTACTTACTAGATGAGGACAGAGCCCAGGCGTTAGGAGTGGGGACACCTAGTGCAGGAATGCTGAACACAGAGGCAGGAAGCCCAACTCTGAGTCCTCCACAGGCTGGGGGTGCGGCCAGGGGTGGGGGGATGAGAACTAGGGATTTGGTGCAAGGCCCATTTTCCATAGATAAGGAAAGGGAGCGAAAACACCAGTCACTTCTCAGATCTCCAAACTGGGACTGGCATAACTGGTGCCCGCACAGGGGCCCTCACCCCCTCCCCAGAGAGGGAAGAAACCTGGGCATCCAGGGCTTCTCAAAGCGGACCTCTCTGTGACAGTGAACTATACCCTGGGGGTCCCCAAGAGGGCCACATCCACGCAGGACTGGGTGTTGTGCAGCAGTCCTGACATGGACACCCCGGCCCAGGCCCCACAGCTGGGCACGGGGATACTGGGACTGAAGCCAGGGCCCTAGGCTGCTGCCCCGGGCACCCAGACTCAGCATGGGGCAGTTGGGAACAGGGTTGGAAAGGCCGCTGGCTTTGGGGTTGTGTGTTTCCCTCCACGGATTTGGGAAGTGGAAGGCAGTGGAACTTCTTTCGAAGCCCCTCAGGCCCTGAGCACCAAAACAGGGTGGGGCATGGCTCCTCGCAGAGCCCACTCCCTGGACCCCGCTCCTCCTGGACTCAGGGGACTTGGGCTGTGGCCCAGTGCCAGCCACTGCCCCATAGGATCTGTGTCCTAGGACCTGGGAAAAAGTTAATAATGGTACACAGGATGAGTGAACTTATCTTTGCCAAGTACTGTTCTTAACCTGTTTTAACTCATTTAACCTTGACAGCGACTCTATTTTTATCCTTAGCTGACTCACCATGGGGAAACAAGTTTAATTGCTTACTCTAGCAAAAGCCTAGGCAAAAGCAAAAATGTTCTTCTTAAGAAGTCTTTGTTTAGGGAGGCTGAGGCAGGAGGATCACATGTTCAAATTCCTCTCAGGTGACTGAGCAATAGACACACTGTCTCAAAACAAAACAAATAAATAAACAAGCATAAAGGATGGGGATGTCGCCAGTGCAGGGAGCCCTTTGGGTTCAATACCCAGTAGGGAAGGGAGGTGCCCTATTTTTGAAATCCCTGCATCAAGGGGACCCTAATGGGTGACCACCAGCAAGGTCACCCTTCTGCCCCAGCTTGTCCACCCCCCCACCTGGCCCATCATGGGCTGGGGCCAGGGCAGTTTGGGAGCCTGGATCCACTATTTCTCCAATGCTATTTCTGAAAGAAAGTTCAAGCTGCCCGGCTCAGTTGCCCGCCCTGCTGGAGCGGCTCAGGAAGATCATCCCAACCCACCAGGCAGGCTGAGGAGGCTGGGATGGGATGGGGAGGTTCTGGTCCAGGCAGCTCCCTCCCATCTGTCTGGGCACAGGAAAGAACAGGTCCCTCACCCTCCGTCCCAGAGGCCCCTGTCTGGTCACAGGTTGGGCCCGCTGGCTCCCATCCAGGTCAGTGAAAGTAGATCCAGCCCTATCGCTCGTTCCCAGGGTGGTCCGTGCAGCCAGGTCCCACCTGATTTCCCTGCTCAGACACGCACTCATTTAAACAGCCCCTGCTGGCCTTCAGTAACGCCAGCCAGCCTGGAGCGGCCAGGTAGGTGAGGCCACTGGGGCGCCACCAAAGCCTCCTCCCGAAAGGAGTCGGGGAGTGAGCACAAAGAAGCTCCCTCTAGCACCCAGAAAATTCTCCCCTGGAATTTGAGCAGTGGTTGAAATCCTGGCTCCATGCCCTTGGGCTTTGGGGCCTCTGACAAGTTACTGGCCCCCTCTGGGCTCTGGTTTAACACTGTGGTGAGGCTGATGGAGCCCCTGAGCTGAGTGCGTGGAGTGAGTTCCTGCAGCCACGCAGCTCGGAGGGCCAGACACGGAGCCAGACAGGGGACAGGGAGGTCAGGACAAGTCCACCGCGTCCGACCCAGGGCTCCGGCCCAGAGCCCAGTCGGGCTGCCCCTCTTGTCTCCCCGGGCTTCCCCTGACCCCTCCCCACCCCCCTCAAGCCTGCCTCCTCCCTGCAGTCTGCACACGGACTCTTCCAGTCCTTCTGCCTGGAGTAAGGCCCCAGCTTCCTTGTCTGCCGGTCTGTCTCTCCCAGGCGGGTGCCGCGTGCCTCTGTGTTTTGCACACAGCATGGAGCAGAGCACGTAGTACCTGCTTGATAAACATTTCTGGATGACTAATGGATCTTCCACCTGTTTGCTGTGGCCTTAGGAAAGCTGTACCTCCTCCCTAGTCTGCACACGGACTCTTCCAGTCCTTCTGCCTGGAGTAAGGCCCCAGCTTCCTTGTCTGCCGGTCTGTCTCTCCCAGGCGGGTGCCGCGTGCCTCTGTGTTTTGCACACAGCATGGAGCAGAGCACGTAGTACCTGCTTGATAAACATTTCTGGATGACTAATGGATCTTCCACCTGTTTGCTGTGGCCTTAGGAAAGCTGTTGACCACCTCTGACTCGGTCTTCTCCTCTGTGACTGGCCTGCCGAGCCTCCCGCCCTACCCTCCTGCTAGGAATAAACCACAGAAGGCACATGAAGTGCTTGGCACAAGAAGGCTGCAGGACATGCTTGCCCCAGCCCCACCCGAGGACTAGCCTTCCAGAAGATTCCTTTCTGGGAAGTGTAATGTATCGGGAGCAGCTTTGGGTCCTGGTTTTTCTAGCACCCCTGGAAGACAAAGCCATTCTGTCCAACCTTCCATCCAAGCTGTGCAGTGACTGGCCGATCTGGCCAGGAATTGTGCTGGTCTCTTGCA